AACCAATTGACTCGATTAAAATTTTAAAGGCTATGCTTGAGCTATTTTTTTCAACATCTACTGAAATCACCCATTATTCATCATCATCATCATCAGCTTTATTAGACACAAGTAGGTCCATATAAAAATGCAAATAAATAAGATAAAAAAGATAAAAATCACAAATGTAAGTCACAGATTTACAAAAAGGCTGAAATGCCAATGGTTCCACATTCTGGACTTAAACCTGACTGAGCTTTGTGCAATATCCTTTAGTATCAGGATGATTTTATTTGTAGAATCATGTATTCTCCACATAAATCTGTACATAAGTTTACATAACGCAGCATAAAAAGTGGAGACGCCAACAAATAACTGACTTGCACTAGTCCATCTCAGCATCCTAAGCAGCATCCTCATTCCGTCATTACATGCCACTTGGAATTTCTATATACTGCTTTGCTTGTCTCGTCTCCACAAGTGGGCAGTATGGAGTGCAGTATGTTTTAAAAAGAGCCACTTTCACTGATGTGAACTTGCATACACACATGTTGGCTTGTGCAAACATTAAACGACACTGTCTGTAAATGTCCATGTCATCAGCCAGATCATCATTTATATAATGTCCCAGGTATTTAACAGCATCACACACTTTAAGAACAGCACCAGATAAAGAGAAGCCAGGAAGTACCAACTTCTGATCCTCCCTGGTTCTTGTGATCATGATATTATTTCAGTGCATTGTACATAATGTCATACTGCTGACCATATTGTGAGCAGGTCTTCAATAATTGATGAAGACCAGCACAGCAAGGACTAAAAAATAACCAGATCAACTACATACATGAGATGGTTAATTATGGTCCCACCAACAGCACACCTCGTCCCACAGTTTTATAGCCACTTTGATAAATCATCCATGTATACATTAAAAAGAAGAGAGAGAATGCTTCCCTGTCTAACCCCGTTCCTTATTGTAAAAGGAGCTGACACACAATTACCCCATCTTGTGATTCGAGCCTACAAACCTTTTTCTGAACCATTTTGGCCTTGGTGTCCTCGGGCTGTTCCTGTGAGTAACAAGCCGGCCATCTGGCCTTAAACATCTGATTGTTATACAAGATGATTGATTGTTTTGGATGGATGGGTCCTTTTGCATGTGTTAAAAGCTTCTGAGATTCCAACAGGATGTTGGCTTGAAACACAGCAGTGAAGGTTACTTATGGGACAGATCTGGTTGACAGACTGATGAAGTCTTCCGGATGGAAGACGAAACGTTTCTTCCTTAAATAAACTGGTCCAGATGACATGATTTAACCTTTTTTGTTGTTATATACCTGGATGATTGAGCCTACAAACCGTTTTTTACCCCATCTTATGTACATTAACTGATGAGCGTATAAAGGACAGAATTCTAATTTTTGATCCAAGAACCCCTCTGTAGTATAACTTATAAAATAAATTTTCGTGATTAACCCAGTCAAAAGCCTTTAAGGCATCAATAAAACGCATAAAAATTGTAGAATTGTGCCTATTATACAAATCTAAGATCTTTTTCAAAGCAAAAAATACACATATCTGTATCATGACCTGATTTTAAACCAAACCAGTTGCTAGAAGTAAGGAGAAAATGTTCTATCTTATTAAGTATAATCCACCCCAGGACCTTGGATAACACAATGGCTAAAGCTATGGGCCAGTAGTTATCCTTATTTATTTTGCCAGATTTATCCTTTATATTAGGCACTAAGGGTGCATTCACACCTGATAGTCCGGTAGAATTGGTTCGGTTCGGGACCAATATTCATGACCTTTTGTTACATTTGAGCTGGTGCGTTTGCATTCACACTGCACTGTGCAGTCAGTCAACCTGTTGAACCAACCTGTTCCCCCGCTCGCCTGTGGGGGCGCTGCACCAAGAACTACTGACAGAAACGACACAAAAACCTCTGAAGACACGTCTTCTTCTTCTTCTGTAAATAAAAATAAAAACGAAGTGGCATCAAGTTTTATCAGTTTTAGGAGTTATATTTAGTCATTTTTCAACCATGGACTCAGCATGAGCAGAAGATGAGACAGAAGACCATGGAGAATGTTGTTTTTCACACAAGGCAGCTGACGGCTCCATATAAGAGAAATGTGTGTTTGTTTGTCCTGCGCTGTACTCCACTTCCTGCTTGTGGAGCGGGGCTCGGTCTGTTTACATTCACACTGTACTGGAACCACGCTGGAGTTCTCTTCTACCGGAACGAGACCTAGGTTTTAGCCCGGGCCAGAGTTCGCCTTTTTGTTCCGTGACAAGAGTTGGATGGCGCGTTCACACCTCCCTAAACGAGCCGGACTTTCTAGGAAAACGAGCTAGAGTTCGATTAAAGCGGACTAAACAGGGCTGGTGTGAATGCACACTAATATAACAGCTAAAAGTGAGTCAGGCAAAACGCCATGGACTAAAAACCCAGTAAAACACAAAGCAAGCAAATGAAATAATTTTCTGTTTGAAAATGTTAAGTGTTCTGCAGACACTTCATCCATACCACAAGACTTATTGTTCTTTAGGCTCATGGCTGCATTATACATTTCTTGGGCTGAAACTTTCCCGTCTTCATCATTATTAATACTGTCCACCATAAATAAGAGGCTTTTAACACAGTAAAATAGTTCATAGTAATGCTTCTGTCACATCTGTGTAATTTCCTCTACTCCATTTACACCGTTAATATCTGCTGGCAGATGTTTTATAATTATTCATTTTCTTTATTTACTTCCAGAAATCATGTGTGCAGCTCTTTTGCATTTTCCTTGCAAGCAAATTTGACTTCATTGTGTCTTCATTTCTTTTAATAAAACGTAAGGCATATTTAAAATTTGCATTTGCCCGTTTCTTATACTCAAAGAGAAGACCATGCTTCTGTCCGTGTGCCTCAGCCCAAGCCTTGAAAGCCCGCCTAGCCTCAGCATGAAGCTCCTTCACATGCTTATTCCAGACTGGTTTAGCTTTAGCTTTGTGCAACTTAGTCTTTTACAATACCGTACTAGAGACACGAAGAGACTCCACAATACTTTCATACAAGTTGCACAGCTCTATACCATGTTGTGGGTTTTTACAGTTGATATTATCACATGCTACAGCATCCTTTGGTAGCTCAATATTACTAAGCATAGTATCAGACTGGGCTAAATATACCACCAGGTCCTTCTTGGTCAAATTAGACCAATATGGTTTTCCAACACTCAGACTATTGTGAACAGACTGAAAAGCAGGTAGATTACCAATATTTACAGATAAAAATAGAGGCATGTGGTCAGATGCAGAAAGCTCATAATTAATCCTTATCGATTCTATGGACTGGTGAGTATTAGCTGTACTGATGCAGTGATCCAGCCATGAAGTTGTACCCCATGCTTCACTAACATAAGTGAAGCTATTATGACTTTATCAGTATGTAGTAAGTTAGTTAAGAATTCAGAGAATTCAGACAAAAACTGGTCATAGGAGCCTGGTGGACGATATTTAACAAGTAGTGAGAGTGGCCGTTCCATTTTCCATTTAGGATGGATGACTTAGAGACAGCAACTCAAAAGTATTATAACTATTAATTTGTTTAGTATTAATTAATAGTCCTGAGTCGACTGAAAAATAGAAGCTACTCCTCCACCTCAGCCAGTTGTTCTAGGAACATGAACATTTAAATAATTAACAGGAGTGGATTCATTTATACCAACAAAATCCTCCTGTTGTAGCCAAGTTTCTGTCAGACACAATAAATCAATATGATGATCAGTTATCAGATCATTAACTAACAGGGATTTAGAGGAAACAGATCTGATGTTCAATAATCCACATTTAATGATTTGATGATTTTGCTCTGGTAAAGTAACTGTGTTTATTTGAATCAGATTTTTATGGTTTATATTTTTAGAGCTGATTTTTGGTTTATTTAATTTGAGCCGTGGGTGAGTTGACACTGTTTCAATGGGGGTGTGGGGGGGTAACAGAGGAGAAGCAGCAGAGAGGTGTGGAGGACTACAACTCTGCTTCCTGGACTGGTTTCTAGACTGGAACGTTAGTTATCAATAATTTGGATGTTCAACTGGATCAGCTAAGTTTTTAGAGAGAAGTGCTGCTCCTTTTAAGGTGGGATGGATTCCATCTCTCTGCATCAGACCGGGTTTTCCCCAAAATGCCAGTTAATGCAAATGCATGTTATCCTCAAATCCTACATTGTTTTCAGAGCACCTCCTGGACGCCCAGCGGTTGAAAGCCAACATGATTAACCTGTCTAAATAAAGGTTCAATGAATGAATACGGCTAAACATGTCATCGCTACCTGTTAGCTGCTAGATCCTAGCTGTTAGCTGTTAGTGATGTCATTATGTGTGCATATAGTGATGCCATTAAAACCGTCCAAAATGACGTCACCATGTGCAATTGTAGAGGTGTCATTACGAATGTATATAATGATGTCACTACTTGTGCATGTGATGGCATCACTATGGTCATAATGTCGTCACTACATGCATATGTAGTGACGACATTACATGTGTACACAGTGACGCCACTACCTAATGGCATGATGTGCAGACACAGTACCATCACTTCTTGTACCACATGACTAACCACTTAAAAAAAATGTCTCTTTTGAACAATTCTTTGAAAGGAACGAATCCTCAAGACCCAGATTTCTTCAATGAGCTGTAATTCCCATCTACCCTGTTGGCTAATAATAGTTAGCTCAACTTCTCTGTGATATATTTTTCAAGCTCGATAGCTCTGACTGAAATTTTTTTCTTTAAAAAAAACCTCACATAAAAACAGCGGTCTGTAGGTTCAGATGACCAGAACCTGGTAGATCCTGTTTTAGACTAGAAACTGGTTCATCTTCTCAAAGACCATAACCTTGCAGATCTCTTTTGAGACCAGAATCTGTTGTTTATGTGATGGGACCAGAGACTGTCTGGCACAAATGCCTGACAGTTAATTGCCACTCCAGTGTGTCAGATGCAGCCCATCATGGTCATCATCAGTCCCCATTGGACTCAGAGACCTTCTTGGCCAGGATCTCCTGGAAAGCAGAGAGCTGCTTCATCTGCTCTGTCTGCATTGAGTGTCTTCTCATCAGCTTCTTCTTTATCTTGAACTCAGGACCCCGTTTGGGTGAGGTTGGGGCTACAGGAACCAGAATCTTGTGTCCTGAGTGAACTGGGGAGGTGGACTTGCCATTGGCTCGGATATCAGGGATGGGTCTTTGTGGATTGATGTTAAGTGGTGGCAAGAAGCCGGGTCTGGTGTGGGAGATGTGGTCCAGCAGCAGGGTCCCGGAGCCACGACGCTCCAGAAGACCTGGGGGACGTCGGCGCATAGTCATGGGGGAAACAGAGTTGGGGATGTTTTCCAGAGACTCCCTGGAGGTGCTTGTAACCAAGGACAATGGGGAGGCATTGTACCTTTTGCGCTCCACAGACATTTGCCCCAAGTCTGGAGATCCAGGGATGGACTCTGGAGAGAGGTGAGTGTCTGACTCATAGTGCTCCATCTGGAAGAGTTTGGGGTGAGTCAGAACTCGGATCCCTACTGCCCCAGACACCCCAGCATTATCCTGTGTCTCTGGAACTGTGTTTCTCCGGTATAGGATCTGGTGCTGCTGAACTTTGTCAGCCCAGGACGGAGCTGACAAGCCTGTACAGTCCTCACAGCAGGACCGGTCGATTGGTTTGGGAGAACAGGGGTCATGGGTCTCAATGCTATGTCTCCGTAACAACAGAGGTCTGACTGGTTCAGAGATAGACAGACCATTTATTTCAGTGGACACCCGTCTCAGGTCATTGCTGACTTCTTCCTCCAGATCTTGGTCCAACTGATCTTGAGGAACTCCACTCAGAACTGAGGGTGCCACCAGGCCCCAGGGCTCTGAATTCAACCTCTTTAGCAGCTTCCGTGGAAGTGGCCTCTTCTCAACCGGAGGTCTAGCAGAAGATAAAGGTAATGTTGATGTGAGTGCAAAGTTGAAGATCCCTTCCTGGTCTTTAGTCCTAGTTACTACAGGAGAGGAGGTTCCGATCTCCACTTCTGAAGGTGACATGCAAGCAGGAGAAAGTTTATCCACAATTCCTGGGGAGGGTGGTGAGTTCAGGTACTGTTTGGTCTTCTTGGTGCCTAATGGAGATGTGTCAGTGGTGATGATGATCACCTCTTTACCTCTGGCCTTGCAGGCATCCAGGAGCACCTGCAGAGTCTCACGGTCTCCTGTGTTGATGGCGTGGATGAGGGCAGAAGCACCTGAGTAATCTTTGAGGCTCGGATCAGCTTTGTTTTCTAGTAAGAGTGACACCAACTCTTTCCCTGCCTGCTTGGCACAGGCATGCATCAGTGCTGTGCGTCCGGATTTGTCTGGAATGTTTGGGTCAGCTCCTTTCTCCAGCAGGTATCGGACCATCCTCTGTCGGGTCTGTGGGTCATCATAGCTTGCTAAGCAGGCGGCAGAGATCGGTGTCTCCCCACGCTCGTTGCCCTCATTGATGTAGGCACCACCCTCTAACAGCAGACGGGCGAGGCGCAGCTTTCCCTGGAAGACAGCTTTGAGGAGAGCATTCCCCTCTGTTTGCAGGGGACCTTCATCTCCCATAATCCTTTGCTTTTCCTCAAACTTGCAGCCCACTGGAAGCTCGCTTATTGCTGGCTGACCATTCTCTATAATAAGTCACATGACCTGCAGAGAAAACACACAATTCAATTAATTCAATTCAGTTTATTTATATAGCGCCAAATCACAACAAATTTGGCTCAGGGCACTTTACAGAAACATTCACATACATAAAATCCAATTAGTAAAGTTCTCTAAGGAATCCAGCAGACAAGTTGAATCTTGGCTTTGTTGCAGTCTCCCATCCTGAGCAAGCACAGTGGAGACAGTGGAAAGAAAAACTCCCTTTTATAAGGAAGAAAACTCCAGCAGAACCAGGCTCAGGACAAGCGGCCATCTGCTTTGACCGGCTGGTTGAGAGGACAGGAAGGAGAGACAGACGAACACAGAATGGTAGGTCCAGGTATAGGTCCAGGTTTATCTGAAAGACAAAAAAACACATGTTAAGGATAGAAAAAATAATTACAAATACAAACCGGATTCCAAAAAAATTGGGACACTAAACAAATTGTGGGCAGCACGGTGGCACAACAGGTCCTTGGTTCAAACCCCGGTCCAGGGGCCTTTCTGGGTGGAGTTTGCATGTTCTCTCCGTGCATGCGTGGGTTTTCTCCGGGTGCTCCGGTTTCCTCCCACAGACCAAAAACATGCATGTTAGGCTGATTGGTAACTCTAAATTGTCCCTAGGTGTGAGTGAGAGAGTGAATGGTTGTTTGTCTCGTTTGTCTCGTTTGTCTCTATGTGGCCCTGTGATAGACTTGCGACCCGTCCAGGGTGTACCCTGCCCCTCGCACAGTGATTGCTGGACATGGGCACCGGCGACCCCCATGACCCAAAATGGAATAAGTGGGTAAAGATAATGGATGGATGGATAAACAAATTGTGAATAAAAACTGAAAAATATGTTGATTCAAAATTTCACAGTGTCAACAAATCCCAAAAAAGTTGGGACAAGTAGCAATAAGTGGCTGGAAAAAGGAAATTGAGCATATAATATATATTGAGCATATATATATTGTTCTAGAATTGCGCTCCTCCAGGTGGCTGCATGTTGGAGCAGCTCTGTTACATTCATTTTGAGATTTTGCTTTTGGAAACTTTAATTCCTCTTTTTCTGTATGTAAATCACAATTTTTTGGATGATTGTTTCCTCTGGTATCAGATGCTGTGCAGCTGGAAGGATTTTTACTGAAATTTTTTTTAGTTTTGGACATTTGTTATGATGCGTAACCATGGCAACAAGACAGTTTTCTACAACCAACAGCAGCTGATTAACATCTCAAAAGCTCAAATAATATCTCAACTACAGCCCCGAATCTCAAGTGAGTTGAAAAGGATGTTCTGTGGATGCATTCTCATCTCCCTGCCAGCTGTGCTCGAGTGCCTGACCACTGAGATCCTGGAACTAGAAGGAAACACGGCTCATGACAGCGGAAGGACAGGATCGTCCCTCAGCACCTACAGTTGGCTGTCTGCAGCGATGAGGAGCTTGGCAGTCTGCTGGACTGAGGAGTGGCCATCGCTTTGGGAGGAGTTCTGCCCAGCATTTGGGTGGTCCTTCAGCCCGAGGGGAACCGAGAGGCCAGACGAGTCTGGGTGGACGGATCGGACGGCATCTGCAACCAGTTTCTTAGGATCCACTGTGGGATGGACCTTTACAAGGGATCCTTCCTGCCTACAGCCATCAGCATCTAAAACATCGCTTAATGAAATGAGCATAACGAGTTACAACAACAAATAATTTCCCTCTGGGATTAATAAAGTATTTTTGAATTGAATTGAATTGAATTGAATAACGAACAGGTGGAAGACCAATTAACACTAATTAGGTCAATTGACAACATGATTGGGTATAAAAGAGCTTCTCAGAGTGTCAGTGTCTCTCAGAAGCCAAGATGGTAAGACGATCACCAATTCCACCATTGTTGTGCAGAAAGATAGTGCAGCAATACCAGAATGGTGTTACCCAGTGTGAAATAGCAAAGACTTTTAAGTTATCATCATCAACCGTGCATAACATCATCAAAAGATTCAGAGAATCTGGAACAATCGCTGTGCGTAAGGGTCAAGGCCGTAAAACTCTACTGGATGCTCGTGATCTCCGGGCCCTTAAACGTCACTGCACCTCAAACAGGAATGCCACTGTCAAGGAAATAACAGAATGGGCTCAGGAATACTTCCAGAAAGCATTGTCAGTGAACACAATCCATCGTGCCATCCGCCGTTGCTAGCTGAAACTCTACAGTGCAAAGAGGAAGCCATTTCTAAGCAAGCTCCACAAACTCATATGTTTGCACTGGGCCAGGGGTCATTTAAAATGGAGTGTGGCAAAATGAAAGACTGTTCTGTGGTCAGATGAGTCACGATTTGAAGTTCTTTATGGAACACTGGGACGCCATGTCATCCGGACCAGAGAGGACAAGGATAGCCAAAGTTGTTATCAATGATCCGTTCAGAAGCCTGCATCACTGATGGTATGGGGTTGCATGAGCGCTTGTGGCATGGGCAGCTTGCATGTCTGGAAAGGCACCATTGATGCAGAGAACTATGTTCAGATTCTAGAACAACATATGCTCCCATCTAGACGTCATCTCTTTCAGGGAAGACCCTGCATTTTTCAACACGATAATGCCAGACCACATTCTGCAGCAATCACAACATCATGGCTACGTAGGAGAAAGATCCGGGTACTGAAATGGCCAGCCTGCAGTCCAGATCTTTCACCTTTACAGGTCCTTCTCAAAAAATTAGCATATTGTGATAAAGGTCATTATTTTCCATAATGTAATGATAAAAATGAAACTTTCATATTTTTCAGATTCATTGCACACCAACTGAAATATTTCAGGTCTTTAATTGTTTTAATACTGATGATTATGGCATACAGCTCATGAAAACCCAAAATGCCTGTCCCAAAAAATTAGAATATCATGAACAGGTTCTCTAAACAAGCTATTAACCTAACCTTCTGAATCAACGACGTAACTCTAAACACCTGCAAAAGATTCCTGAGGCTTTTAAAAACTTCCAGCCTTGTTCATTACCCAAAACCGCAATCATGGGTAAGACTGCCGACCTGACTGCTGTCCAGAAGGCCATCATTGACACTCTCAAGCAAGAGGGTAAGACACAGAAAGAAATTGCTGAACGAATAGGCTGTTCCCAGAGTGCTGTATCAAGGCACCTCAGTGGGAAGTCTGTAGGAAGGGAAAAGTGTGGCAGAAAACGCTGCACAACGAGAAGAGGTGACCGGACCCTGAGGAGGATTGTGGAGAAGGGCCGATTCCAGACCTTGGGGGACCGGCGGAATCAGTGGACTGAGTCTGGAGTAGAAACATCCAGAGCTACTGTGCACAGGCGTGTGTAGAAAATGGGCTACAGGTGCCGCATTCCCCAGGTCAAGCCACTCTTGAACCAGAAACAGCGGCAGAAGCGCCTGACCTGGGCTACAGAGAAGCAGCACTGGATTGTTGCTCAGTGGTCCAAAGTAATTTTTTCGGATGAAAGGAAATTTTGCATGTCATTCGGAAATCAAGGTGCCAGAGTCTGGAGGAAGACTGGGGAGAAGGAAAGGCCAAAATGCCAGAAGTCCAGTGTGAAGCACCCACAGTCAGTGATGGTCTGGGGTGCCATGTCAGCTGCTGGTGTTGGTCCACTGTGTTTTATCAAGGGCAGGGTCAATGCAGCTAGCTATCAGGAGATTTTGGAGCACTTCATGCTTCCATCTGCTGAAAAGCTTTATGGAGATGAAGATTTCATTTTTCAGCACGACCTGGCACCTGCTCACAGTGCCAAAACCACTGGTAAATGGTTTACTGACCATGGTATTACTGTGCTCAATTGGCCTGCCAACTCTCCTGACCTGAACCCCATAGAGAACCTGTGGGATATTGTGAAGAGAAAGTTGAGAGAACAAGACCCAACACTCTGGATGAGCTTAAGGCCGCTATCGAAGCATCCTGGGCCTCCATAACACCTCAGCAGTGCCACAGGCTGATTGCCTCCATGCCACGCCGCATTGAAGCAGTCATTCATGCAAAAGGATTCCCGACCAAGTATTGAGTGCATAACTGAACGTGATTATTTGAAGGTTGGTGTTTTTTGTATTAAAAACACTTGTCTTTCATTGGTGGGATGAAATATGCTAATTTTTTGGGACGGGCATTTTGGGTTTTTATGAACTGTATGCCATAATCATCAGTATTAAAACAATTAAAGACCTGAAATATTTCAGTTGGTGTGCAATGAATCTGGAATATATGAAAGTTTCATTTTTATCATTACATTATGGAAAATAATGACCTTTATCACAATATGCTAATTTTTTTAGAAGGACTGTAGAGAACATTTGGCGCATTAGACATAAATGGGAAAGCATTCCTATTTCTAAACTTGAGAAACTGGTCTCCTCTGTCCCCAGACGTCTGTTGAGTGTTGTAAGAAGAAGGGGGGATGCCACACAGTGGTAAAAATGGACTTGTCTCAACTTTTTTGGGATTTGTTGACGCCATGAAATTTGGAAACAACAGATTTTTCCCTTAAAATTATACATTCTCTCAGTTTAAACTTTTAATCTGTGATTTGTGTTCTATTCTGAATAAAATATTAGATGTTGGCACCTCCACATCATTGCATTCAGTTTTTATTCACAATTTGTTTAGTGTCCCAACATTTTTGGAATCCGGTTTGTACAAAATAGGTTGAGCAGATTAAATAAAGACAGTAGCAGAGTGAAAATTGTGGTCAGTTTGTCCTCCAGCAGTCTAAGCCTATAGCACCATAACTAAGGGACAGCTCAGGAAACCCAAGCCGACCCTAACTATAGGATTTAGCAAAAAGGAAAGTCTTAAGCCTAGTTTTAAAACTGGATAATGTGTCAGGCTCACGGACAGAGATTGGAAGTTGGTTCCACAAGAGAGGAGCCTGAGAACTGAAAGAGCTGCCTCCCATTCTGTTTTTGGAAACTAGGAACCACAAGTAAA